TGTTGGCTGAGTTGTGAGAGGGTATAAATACCCCATTATCTTCAACTCTCAAGCTAACTAAGAGAGTTTTTTAATCAAGTTTAATAAAGTTTTTAACAAGGGTTTTAGTTTGGTTTAAGTGTGTTTAAAAAGCTTTTAAGCAAATTGAGAGTTTGTTTTGGTGAATCAAATTCCACAAGAGCTTGAGGAGATTATCTATTGAAGTTTGAGCTTCCAACTATCATCCCTCCATCTCTTGTTATCAAATTGAGAAGTTTTCTAAACTCAAACTCTAGCTTTACATTTATATACTTGATTGATTATCATTGTTCTTAAGCTAGATTTCATACTTGAGTTTAGTTGATTTGATCTTATTTACTCATTGTTACACACACCCACATTGAGCTTATAGTATTTGCATACATAGTATAGTTGGGTGGTGAGAGATTGTAACATTGAGTTGTGCTACATTGTGTTCTCATCTATTGTAGAGAACAAATTTATATTTGTTACATTGTGAGTGTTGTAAGGTTTTCGGTGAGCTAGAAACCGAGTGTGTAGTGAGGTTTTCGGTGAGCTAGAAACCGAGTGAGTGTGAACGTTGATCGGTGAGCGTTGAAAACCGACACTGTGAGGTGTAAACGTTATTCGGGTGAGCGTAGAAAACCCGGTTGTGATAGTGGATTTCTCCCCGGGAGTGGGGAGCGGAGACGTAGGACGGAAGGTCCGAACTCCGTGATCATATCTTGTGTTTGAGTGTGCTTTGGCGTTTATTTATACTTGTGTTTATATTTCTTATCGCCATTGTCATTAGCTCATTATTTATATCATCCACTATCTTGTTTTATTTTTAGAACGAACGCGAGGTTCGTTAAAATTGAGCTTGACGCTCACCTGAGTTGAACGCGAGGTTCACCTTAGAACGAACGCGAGGTTCGTTAAAATTGAGCTTGACGCTCACCTGAGTTGAACGCGAGGTTCACCTTAGAACGAACGCGAGGTTCGTTAAAATTGAGCTTGACGCTCACCTGAGTTGAACGCGAGGTTCACCTTAGAACGAACGCGAGGTTCGTTAAAATTGAGCTTGACGCTCACCTGAGTTGAACGCGAGGTTCACCTTAGAACGAACGCGAGGTTCGTTAAAATTGAGCTTGACGCTCACCTGAGTTGAACGCGAGGTTCACCTTAGAACGAACGCGAGGTTCGTTAAAATTGAGCTTGACGCTCACCTGAGTTGAACGCGAGGTTCACCTTAGAACGAACGCGAGGTTCGTTAAAATTGAGCTTGACGCTCACCTGAGTTGAACGCGAGGTTCACCTTAGAACGAACGCGAGGTTCGTTAAAATTGAGCTTGACGCTCACCTGAGTTGAACGCGAGGTTCACCTTAGAACGAACGCGAGGTTCGTTAAAATTGAGCTTGACGCTCACCTGAGTTGAACGCGAGGTTCACCTTAGAACGAACGCGAGGTTCGTTAAAATTGAGCTTGACGCTCACCTGAGTTGAACGCGAGGTTCACCTTAGAACGAACGCGAGGTTCGTTAAAATTGAGCTTGACGCTCACCTGAGTTGAACGCGAGGTTCACCTTAGAACGAACGCGAGGTTCGTTAAAATTGAGCTTGACGCTCACCTGAGTTGAACGCGAGGTTCACCTTAGAACGAACGCGAGGTTCGTTAAAATTGAGCTTGACGCTCACCTGAGTTGAACGCGAGGTTCACCTTAGAACGAACGCGAGGTTCGTTAAAATTGAGCTTGACGCTCACCTGAGTTGAACGCGAGGTTCACCTTAGAACGAACGCGAGGTTCGTTAAAATTGAGCTTGACGCTCACCTGAGTTGAACGCGAGGTTCACCTTAGAACGAACGCGAGGTTCGTTAAAATTGAGCTTGACGCTCACCTGAGTTGAACGCGAGGTTCACCTTAGAACGAACGCGAGGTTCGTTAAAATTGAGCTTGACGCTCACCTGAGTTGAACGCGAGGTTCACCTTAGAACGAACGCGAGGTTCGTTAAAATTGAGCTTGACGCTCACCTGAGTTGAACGCGAGGTTCACCTTAGAACGAACGCGAGGTTCGTTAAAATTGAGCTTGACGCTCACCTGAGTTGAACGCGAGGTTCACCTTAGAACGAACGCGAGGTTCGTTAAAATTGAGCTTGACGCTCACCTGAGTTGAACGCGAGGTTCACCTTAGAACGAACGCGAGGTTCGTTAAAATTGAGCTTGACGCTCACCTGAGTTGAACGCGAGGTTCACCTTAGAACGAACGCGAGGTTCGTTGAAATTGAGCTTGACGCTCACCTGAGTTGAACGCGAGGTTCACCTTAGAATGAACGCGAGGTTCGTTGAAATTGAGCTTGACGCTCACCTGAGTTGAACGCGAGGTTCACCTTAGAATGAACGCGAGGTTCGTTAAAATTGAGCTTGACGCTCACCTGAGTTGAACGCGAGGTTCACCTTAGAACGAACGCGAGGTTCGTTGAGCGCGAAGCTCGGTTAAAATTGAACGAACGCGAGGTTCGTTTGAGGTAACCACCTCCTTAATTTTCGCCATGAACCCTTAGGGTTTCAAACTGAAACCGCCGCCGTCAAAACCCAAAAACCTTTGATTTTTATTTTCAAAACAGATCCAGAATTGGAAAAAATTGAAGGAAAAATCAAAGAAAAATCCAAAAAAATTCCCAAAAGTTACTGTTCACCGGTGATTTTTTCAGTTACTGTTCATCCGAAAAATACTTTACTGTTCATCCGAAAAAAATTTCGTTACTGTTCACCGAACATTACTGTTCATCCGAACCCAAAAATTGAATCTTTAACCAGAGATTTAAGATCAAAAACCCAATAAAACTTAAATCCCTAAGAATTAATCAAGGTGGCTCTGATACCACTTGTTAGATCTTCATCATAAAACTTGAGATCTAAAACCATATAGCCATGATTAATTCAAAGAGATTAAAAAAGGATCTAAAAGAGCGGAAGCTTATACCTGAATCCATTGATTGATCTTGATTTTGGGTTTTGGATCTTCTAACCTTAGGGTTTTCTCCTTAGCCGAATTTCTCTCTTAGATGGGGGTGAAGAGAATTAGAGAATGTAACCCTAGGTTAGGGACCATAACCCCTTATTTATAGATGTTGTACTTTTGTAATTTAGCTCCTCAATAAATTATAATTACAACCTGGTATCTGCACATATAACCCCATGACTTATTTAAATACCAAATTAACCCAACTTAATTGATCACTTTAGTGGGTTATCCTGAAAGATAGCAATACACATTGATTAATCATATGTGCCCACAAATAGATTTATTAGATTAAATCCAACAATCAGCCCCTAATTGTATATGCATTCTCATGAAGAAAGGTACTAGAAAAGCTAAAGCTTTTGGCGGATCATTTGAGTCATTTTGGAGTTTTGGGGGCTCCATCGGGAATTTTTGAATGTCGTTAGGGTGAAAATTGAACAAAAAGTGCTATGCAAGTGGTTAATTGAAAGCTAAGGCCACCTATACAATGTTGGCTTCGGTATAAAAAAATGTGAAAGTAGAAATTTTATTTTTTTGAATGTGCATGGTAACTACCAATTTATGTACTGCTTCAAAGGTGGTTCTCATGAAGAGAAACGCAAAATAAAGTTAGGTGTTTTTTAAGAAGGGTTTTTTTTGACGAAGGCCACCTTTAGATAGAGAGTTTTTATAGGAACCACCTCGATATTCTAATTAACACAGAAACCACCTTAAAAGAATAAATTAGTTACAATCTCTAAAGAGATTGGCGAGCTCTCCTCATTGCAGTCTTTGTTTTTGGATGTGATCACTGATCAGTAGCTTGAATGGAGAAATTCCTTTGGAGCTTGTGGGCTATCCTTCTTAGCTCACTGAGCTTGACTTTTGGGGGGGTGGGGGGCAATTTTTTTGATGGGTCCATCGCAATTTTCCCCCACCCTCAATAAATTAAGCCCTGGTTTAGACGAAGTTAAGAGGTGGCTGGTGAAAAGTTGTGTGTGGCACGTGATGGTATTTATGGCAAGGGTGTTGCTATAGGGACCAGATAGGGGACCCAAGGCATGAGACATGTACGGTATCACTATCCGATTGCATGATGCACTATTCATGAACAATGCATCATGCAACCGGATGGTGACACCTCACTTGTCCCATGCCTTGGGTCCCCTATTTAGGTCTCTGGTGCAATGATGTTATGGGAAAAATGATTTAAGGACCCAAAATATGGGACCAAGGGAAGGGACAGGTGAGGTGTCCCCTCCCTATTGCATAATAGGCATGCCAACTCATGCCAACTCATTATGCAATAGGGAGGGGACACCTCACCTATCCCCTCCATTGGTCCCATATTTTTGGTCCCCGTAGCAGCACTCTATGGCAATCTATGCATATTTTGTACAAAATCTGAGCATTGGTGGTTCATTGAAGCCAATTTATTGCTGGGTTTTTTTAGCTATTAGCCCCTTACATTAGAGAGAGTTTGATATTAGCCCCTTAGGTTTTCATATTTTGATAGTAGCCCCTCAAATAGCTACGGATGTTGATATAAGCCCCTGTCGTTAGGTCACATATTTTGATATTAGCGCCTCAGGTATCTATGATGTGTTGATATGAGCCCCTCATATTAACACATCGTAGCAACTTGAGGGGCCAATACCAGAATTGGAGATATAAGGGCCTAATATCAAACTACTTATAATGTAAGGGGCTAATACTAAAAAAACCAGCAATAAATTGGCTTCAATCAATCACCAAGTTTAGACATATTTTGCTCTAAAACTTCGCTTTGAAGATTGATTGAAATCAATTTACTGTTTTAATTGGAGCATTAAGGCGATTCATATAAAAACACACTATTTTGAAGGTGGTTTGCACGGGAAAAAAAAAACTCTTTTAAGAAACGCTCTAAATTTTTGGGGCGTTTTGTGAAGTTTATTAGCCTTTAGAAAATTAGCTATAGACCCCTTTTTGGGTTTCTTCAAGCGAATTAGCCCTCGCTTTAATTAGAAAAAGGGTGGGCGCGGACGTTTGGGCATCGCGTCGCCAGCGAAGCCCACAAGAAAGACACCAGTCATCGCCGGCCCCTCGATTCTCCGCTCTCTGTTCATGAGAGAGAGAGACGAAGGAGAGAGAAACCCATAAGATTTCAATCTCAAAAGCTTTCAATGGCCGATGCTCTCTCTCGCCTCTCCCTTCTCCACTTCGCTCTCAACGGCTCCACTCCTCCCCTTCTCTGGCCCTTGATTCGCTCCTCTCCTCGCTCCCCCAGTCTCTCATTCAAGCCCCGCTCAATCTCTGCGCGTGATCTTGATCGGTTCTCTCGTTTCAAGGTAAAAAAGAAAAAAACCCATGTTTCATCATTTTATTTTTAAGTTCAGCAGTAGCTAGAAGAACCCAAGCGGGAGAAACCCCCCCCCCAAAAAAAGCTCTTTTTTAGCTCCTTTATATGGATATAGGTGACAAGTTTTCTTTGCGTGTGAAAGTGAACTAGGCGATAAATTGAAGTTGGAAAGGAAAAAAGCAGTGGTGATTTTGCGAGGTTGAGATTTATTGGGTTGAATTGAAACTACCTAGCAAAAAATGGGTTTATGCACTTATTCGTGTTTATCAAAGAGTTGCCTCGTTTGGTACGCCGGATTAGAGTCAAGAGGGAATGGAATGAATAAGGAATGGAGTGGAAGAATAATCGCGGGAATGGAATGCTTATTCCCATTCTCACGTTTGGATGCGATTAGATAATGAAGTTGGAGTGACAATTTTTTTTTTAATTTTTGATATGAGTAATTAATAAGCAATCAAGATAATAATTCAAAATTTGATTTCCAGTTAAGTGGGAATACCCATTCCCTATCATCTTATTGGGAAAGCTGATTCCCACATAAAGTAGGAACGAATGAGATGTGGGAGTGAGCATTCTAGCTTCTAAAAAGGGTATTGTGTTTAGTATGCATGAATGAGAAGTGGGAATGAACATTCTATTCCCATCCATTCCCACATACCAAACGAAGCGTAGAGTTTTGAATTTGACCATTTTTTATTGGAGTTGAGCTAAGCCATGTGAATACTAATAACCATAATTTCTTTTTTTTTGATAATCCAACCCAGAATCGAACCCAACATCGCTGGAGCCATATTGGAACATCCCAACTGTCCCGTCACTTGCGGTAACTATTATAACCATAATTTAAAGATTCACATTTCAAGTTAAAAGTCCATGCAGGTAGATGTGATCTATTGGATATTAAAAAATCGAACTTTTTCGACATGATTTACTCAATGCATTAAATGGTCCCAAAATCACCACTTCAGATTTTTATTTTGTAAAAACTGATTAGCTTGTGCATGGATATATGCAGATGCTATCAATTTTGAGGTAGTTTATGCCTTTTAAATCATATTTATTGGGTCCAAATTCAACTCGAAAAATGTAATTTATATGCATTTGAATTGTATGTAGTAGCCTGGCTTAGTTCTTCCTATTGTGTGTGCGCGTGCACTTAAAGTAGCTTACTTTATACTATAGATGACTTATGTTTGTCACATTTTGAGGATGTACTTGTGTGTTTGTGTCTCTTTCAAGGTCCGTGCAGTTGTTGCAGGAGAAGAAGGAAACACACCAAAGTGGTGGGAGAAGAATGCAGGGCCAAATATGATTGATATTCATTCTACAAAGGACTTTCTGGATGCACTGAGCCAAGCTGGTGATAAGCTTGTCATTGTTGAGTTCTATGGCACTTGGTGTGGTTCTTGCCGAGCTCTTTTCCCGAAGGTAAGTTTTCCTCTTCGACGTGGCTTATTTATGTGATTTCTATATGTGATAGCTATGTAATACTTGGATATTCTGAAGCGTGTCAAATGTTGATTATCGATCATTCGTATTTATGGAGGAAATGATATATTAATGAAAACATAGACTTATTCATTACTTTACTATTCTCTCCAATCTCCATAGAAGTTGCTATACGATGCGGTATTCACTCAAGGCCATTTTCTAACTTATACAAATGCAAGCCCTCAAATGTATTGCTTTGTTGGTTATAAATTGTTAAGAAGGATACTGTAATGGTTAACTTGGAGGAACCCACAACGAAATTGAGTACACGAGTAGGAGTTATGTAGCTGTCACCAAAAACTTGGGATAAATGCTTTGTTGTTGTTGTTGTATGTGCTAACATGTTCCCGTTGATGTATAATTTTGAGTTTGGTGGTAACTTTGCTTAGGCTGCTAAATTGAATGTTTCACCAGAATGGGTTGATGTATAATTTTGAGTTTGGTGGTAACTTTGCTTAGGCTGCTAAATTGAATGTTTCACCAGAATGGTTCAAAGTTACATTAGGGATGATAAATTAACTTTGCTTAGGCTGCTAAATTGAATGTTTCACCAGAATGGTTCAAAGTTACATTAGGGATGATAAATTAAATCAAACCTTTTTGTTATTTAAGTATGCCCTCTAATCACGATGATATTTTGAATAGACAGAGATACTAATACCATACTGGTAATCTTATAGTCACTATACATTCAATTAATATTTGTAAGCATGCCATCTAGAAGCATAAGTAAGCTATGTATGTGAAAAAACTTGATAGATTTTCTGACAATGTAAAATGACAAAGTAAAAATGACTATGTCATCATCATTATTGGCCACAAAGTTCTGCAAGACAATTGACTAAAACATTAAGAATGCCTGGCATTGTGGTCTGATGGTAAGACGCTATTATATTAGTTTAAATTCCAAGCAGAGGCAATTGTAAAGCATATTCCAGAAATTGTCGATGACCAATTACTTGTTGGAAATATTGACATTTCGAAAGTGTCATGCTAACATGCGAGGTGATTTTGTACCTCAACCCTGACAATATCATCACCCTTTCGAGGTTATGCTTGAGAGCTCTGGTGCTTCCCTGAGGCGTGCAAGGCAAGAGGCGACTGCTATTTTTTGAAAACCCCCTATTACATAGTGTTTTACTTTGTACTCCATCAGGGAACACTATATTACACCAAAAAAAAAGGAAAGAAAATAGTAGAGTAACATATTAAGCCAATTTTGGACTTATTAATGCCTATGAGAGGGAGTCACTAGAATGTTATTTTTTAAGTCATCTTGTGCATCTTTATTTTTCTGGTATCGTTCATTCCTAACTTACTGAAGAATTATACCACAATGATCTCGGTTATCCAGTTCATGAAATAAAGAAGCAATACTTCAAATTATTGATTAGGGAATGTTTGAGAAAAGAGGTTAACTGTCTGATTTCCTATTGGGAATTAAAGATATTAACTCCCCAAGCCTACGCACGCACATGCACATTCAAGTGCTATTGAGTGTAAATGTGCTCTTTGCTCATCTTTATTCTTATATCTGCATTTATAATTTATCTTGTTGGCAGTATAATTTTTTTCTATACCATTTATTTTGTTAGTTGATCTTATTCATATCCATTTTTTCAGCTTTGCAAAACTGTTCAAGAGCACCCCGATATAATGTTATTGAAGGTAAATTTTGATGAAAATAAACCTATGTGCAAAAGGTTGAATGTTAGGGTTCTTCCATATTTCCATTTCTACCGTGGTCCTGATGGACTATTGGAGTCTTTTTCATGCTCTCTGGCAAAGGTAAAGATCTAAAATTTTGTATGATCCCATCCTTATACCTACAATATAAACTGGTCAAACCTGCTCATATTTACATTTTTGGGGTTTGCATATATACCTCAAATATTTCATAATTGCAAAATTGCCCCTCAAATCTGGATAATTGCAAAACTTCCCTCCTAATCTCTCAGAGTGGATAAGAATATCCCTCGTTAAATTTACAAAAAAAAAAAAAAATCCTCAGCCCCAATGGGACAGCGACCAACTCTTCAACAACCTCCTCCCTCGCTTCATCAGCAGCGAATCTAACCTCCCGCTCACTCTCTGGACATTTTGATAATTACATAAATTTGTGATGTTTGCAAGCTATTACTGGAGACATCAATTCTTCCTACAGACGATCGTGTTCATTGTTCATCATTAAAGGCAAACTATATAGGTAAAGGAGGCTGCAAAAGTTAACTAAAATAAGCTGCAATAAATTCACTTACCATTATGTGCAAATTGTATGTAATAAAGGTTTTAATAGGGCTTGATTGCTCTTAAGAAAAGCTAATGCAATTTTTTGGGTCATACCCCATCGCTCTCTCCAAATGTTTCAGTCGGAGCTTTGCTCGGAGACTGATAACAAGTTGAACACTGAGCTTCTTTCTAGTCTTGATCACTACGAGGCGAATTATGAGGGTGGATTGCAGGAGAGGTTTGCTGCCAATGAGGCGAGGGAGGAGGTTGCTGGAGGGTGGACCGCTGTCATGTTGAGTCTGCTAAGGTTAGAGAGAGGAAAGATAGATGAAAATGGGGAAGAAGGAAGACGAGGATATTTTTGTCCAAATTTAATGGGAGTGGTATTCTTATCCAATCTAAGAGATTTAGAGGGGAATTTTGCAAATTTTTTTTTTGGGGTGGGGGGTGGGGTGGGGTGGGGTGTTAATTTTGCAATTATGAAAGATTTGTGGGGCATATATGTAAAACCCCCTTAAAATTTTTAATAGTTTTCTAGCTGTCGACTACTGCTACTGCAATTTATGACTGATTTGTCAAATTATGCTGAACCTGATTGTCTGAGTTCTATTTCATTTTTCCAAAATTAAATAATTACTACATCATAGTTCATTTGATATTAGTGCCACAATTCCAATGATCACACTTGACTGCTTCTTTTAAAAACCAGTAAATATCCTGAAATCCCTTCAAGATTAAACATATTACAACAAGTATTTAAATTCATCTTTCGTGATTTTGAGAAGTTACTACAATTTCCCCATCCTACGAAATAGTTTCTAGAAGATGTACTGTTCAATCAGAAGTTTGCCAAGCCCTTCTATCGCACTTCTTTCTTTAATGGCCTGTGACTTGAAAGAGTCCGTTTATTGGACTTAAGCAATCTAGTTCTTTAATTTAAATTCCAAATTAAGTAATTTGAAATTTACCTTGACGTAGGCTTTTCTTTAATTGAAAATTCAGGTTAAATTTATTATATTAGGACAAATTTGAGCGCAATACGTCTTGGTACTTTATATCTTAGGAGAGCTCCTAGCGCACCAATTGCCACTATCATCTCCTTTATATAGGATCCTACTTTATCCCAATTCAAGCAACATTACTTTTATGTATCCTACTCCAATTTCCAAATAACCTGCTAAAGTATTAAATTTTAATTTTGTTCTCACCACAACTTTGGAGTTTTGATGTAATGGAAATGACATTTATTATGATATCAGGACAACCTATGTTCAAATCTTACCAGCCACAAATTTAAAGAGCATTTTTAAATTGCTTGTGAGTTTAGGTTTCAGCCCATGAAAATGGCTCTCAACATGTAGGGACATGGTAGCCATAAATTTAAAGAGCATTTTTAAATTGCTTGTGAGTTTAGGTTTCAGCCCATGAAAAGGGCCCTCAACATTGTAGGGACATGGTAGATTGTAAAAATGTAACTCTCAACCCTCACAAGGACTTTAGAGTTTTTGGTGTAGTGGCTGGGAACTTCAAGATAACCCAATTCCTTAAACATGAAATTTCATAAATACCCCCAAATATTCAGTAGTCTTATAGATACTCAATGATCTCCAATAATTGCTATTCTTTTCATATCCAATAAATTTTATTAGTATTAGGTAAAATTGGAAGTTACATTATGCCCTATGACTTGTGGGCACATATACAATATGACGTCATGACTATATGTCTGTCTATTAATTGACATATTCATCTGTTGACTTAAATATTTTTATTTCTTATGAAAAATTTCTCTTACCAATGCAGTTTCAAAAACTAAAAGATGCTATTGCAACTCATAACACCCCTCGTTGTAGCATTGGTCCGGCTCTAGGTGTTGGAGACCTAAACCTTGTAGATAGTGCCACTCCACAAGAAAACTCAGCAGAAGCCAGTTCCAGATAGCCTGTATCTTCTTATAATGCCTTCAAGAAATGCACGGTATATAATTCAACCCCAAATGTAGTATATTTTTCAGCACTAGTTTATCATCATTCTTTTCTGACTCAAGTATTTAGAGAGATCTCAAAACATAATAAATAAGGTTTGTTTAACTTTGCTTTTCTCTCTGTTATACACAGTGTGAGTAATAGTTATATTAATATTACATTTTGACATGGTACTCAACAATGTCATCCAGTCTGATGGTAAAGGTTGTATCTCACACACACGCATACATATGTATATACTGCGCACGCACACACACATATATGTATGTATGTATGTATATATATGTGTGTGTGTGTGTGTGTGTGTGTGTGTATCACATTTAGCATGTTACATTTTTGTGCAGTGGAAGATGACAATCTTCATCAATATTATTAGACTATATCTGGACTTAGTTTTATGGGGGAAAATCCTATAGATGCACTCCATAGAAAATTATATGGGAGGAAGGAGATTGTGATTGTGCATCAACACAAATTTTAAATTTGGTGATTGTACTATTATTGATTGCGTCAATTTTGTATTGGTAGTGGAACATTTCCTTGTTCTTCTCTTTCATCGTAACAAATTTCTTGCATCTACCCCTAACAATTTGACGCATGTTGTTACTTGGAAGTTATTAGTATTTAACTTATCATCTTTTTAGTGTTTGATTTTTGAAACAATATTGGATAGAGAAGAACCCTGATTTTGATTATAGTGTTAGATTTTCTAAGCAAAGATAGTGCTATAATTTCCTATAATATACCTTTTCGCAAACTCCAATAAGAATCTACATAATGTGCAGTGATATAATACAGTGTGCATGGTTTCGTCCTTGCTAGGAATCGAAAGTCAAAGCAACTTTGCTAAGAGTCCGTATTGAGTAGCGCTTGCAATATTTGCCTGTGATTACTACACACTGTTCTATTGCTTGTATAATTGTGGATTTAGATACCCTTTAATACATACTTAGGGCAGAAGGTTCTTCTAAAGTATTTTCCTAGAGATTAATCTTCAGATACTGAGAAGGGGTAGCTTTGTATGAATTATAAATTTTGCTAAGTTTTTCAGTTATTTGTGAACCGTGTCATGTTTCATGTATATGCACTACGAGACTGTGTTGTGTCATGTTTCATGTATATGCACTACGAGACTGTGTTTCAGGACTATTAAATGGGATTTGAGGAGGCGCCCTAAAGTTTAAATTTGCTCTAAAGTTTGACACCCTAAATCTTGGTTTCACCTTTTTCTAACTTTGACACCCTAAATTTCGGACCTAACCATCCGGAGATCAACAAAGACGTTGCCAACCTAAACTTTGACACCCTATGTTGAGCTTTACAAGGTGATGGCTTCTAATATGGAGTTGAAGGTTGCTCCAAATAATGGATCTGCTGGATTTGTAGGCTCTGTTTGTTTTTACCTAGGAACCACGAGAATATTGTGATGTGAGGTTGCAAGAAACTTTCTTTTAGAGAAAATATTTTGGATTAAAGTCTGAGCAATTTGCTTTTGCTTTTGTTTTCTTTTTCTTTTCTTCCTTTTAAAAAATAAATGCTTGGCGTCTGTAACTTTTTTCTATATGCAATGGACATTTTACCTAGCGCACAAAATATGATGTGCTATTAATTAATAAAAAGATCATTTGTGATTGTAGGGGGGACCCTATGCTGGAGTTCAAAGTGTATTTAAATGAGTTGCGTGGTTGAGCTCTTGTTGGTGTATTATGTGACTTGTAGTCGACTCATGTGCCTGGACCGATAAAGGGTCTGTTTAGACACAAGACTTCTCTGACCATACACAAATAACTTATAGTAAATCTGATACATATTAAATTAATGGGGGGTTTAGTGAGCATATGTATGATACTTATTCCGTGGGGCGTACGTATCAAACACTTGCTGCCTTTCGATTATAGAATTGATGTGCTATGTGCTATGGGGTGATTCTTATTAGATAGACCCATAGGATGTTCGTGGATTATGATTCTGATTTCAGTATCTATACTTTATTTTGCTAGTTGTGTGATAATGCATATATCTCCGTGGATTATGATTCTGATTTCAGTATCTATACTTTATTTTTCTAGTTGTGTGATAATGCATATATCTCCGTGGTGTACGTATCAAACACTTGCTGCCTTTCGATTATAGAATTGATGTGCTATGTGCTATGGTGTGATTCTTATTAGATAGACCCATAGGATGTTTGCGGATTATGATTCTGATTTCAGCATCTATACTTTATGTTGCTAGTTGTGTGATAATGCATGTATCTCCTCCTCCAGTTGCTGGTACTACCGGTACATCTGTAACACATCTCTTTTTATGTGATTTCGTCGGTATTTGTATTATCTTTGTGCTCACCCTTATTTGGCGATGTTTGTTGGGTTTATTTGTCGACGATCCGTGATTTGTTTTCTTTTCTTCTAGGTATTAATGATATAGTTGCCCAAGGATCAGGTCAGTTTTGGGGGAGTGGTGGTTTGAGTTGGTCTGGTACTGAGAGTGAGTTGTGTAAATTTAGACTCGTTACTTGTTATATAGTCTATTATTGACCAATTTAGTATTCCTGTTTATACCCGATATGTTAATCTCGTTTTTTGGTTCGACTGTTGTTGACTTTATAGTTGACCTGTATGGACCCTGTTTTGAGGCTTCACTATGCACATGAGAACTCTACTTAGTTCTCGTCTACATAATCCTGACCAATTCACATGCCCATATCGTATATTGGGACACGTGACATGACAAGATTTTGTTGGTATCGAAGTCTAGACTTAGGGGCTGTTTGGTTCCCTGTTTTTGAGGGAAAGATTCTCTTGAAAGCCTGCCAAAAGTACCAAAAGTGTCACTTTTTTGGTAGGCTGTTAGCCAAAATCGCCTCTAAAAAAGAAGATTTTGGCTGAAAGCCTGCCAAAAAGTGACACTTTTGGCAGGCTTTCAAGAGAGCCTTTCCCTCAAAAGCAGGGAACCAAACAGCCCCTTATGTACAGCTTGTTGCCTATATCGGTAGACCTTGTAGGGTTATAGAATACCGTAGGGATATCTATTAGAAAGAGGCTTATGGGGGTGGAACTAGTGAGTTGAGAGTTAGAATTAAATTCTCATAAGAGAGCCTTTGATTCTTCTTTAACGAGATGTCGTAATTTTGATCTTTTTATGGTGAGGTTGGTGTTATGATTCTCTAGTGAAGTTCTAATCTGATCTGTGCAACCGTCATCAATGCCGACTCAACCCTAAGTGAGTACAGTTGAACAAGCATCATCTTGTTTCTATTTGTATA